CTGTAGTACAAAATTTGGATATAAATAATTGAAATCTAGGTTCTCTAATGAATTAAAAAGGGAGAAGTGATTATGAACAAGTAGGAAAATGTTAATACCAAGAAAAATGCATATATACATAATACACATACGAGTAATTCTCCCATCCACCTTCTGGATTTGTTATTGAATTTATGTTGTTGTTTGGTTTTTTTTGTTTTGGTTTGGGGACAGTTTAAGTTTAGGTGTTTTGCTTAGAAGAAAGTTGAAGTGAAGTCAGTTGAAAGAATTTTTTTAAATTCCTTCKTTAGCTAAGTTTTTTTCCTAACTATGCAGCTAACATTTCTTGATCATTTGTTTTGTGCCAGACAGCTGATCATCACAATCATAAAGGTAAAATTTCCACTTTACAGAGGAAGAAATTGAAGGTCAAACAGATAAACTGTTCTGTCTTCATATCTCTTGTAAGTGGTAAAGCTGCCACTCACCCATATTTACTCTAGAGCTCAAGCTGTTCACCACTATCTGGGACCACGTACTTACTCCATTGTATATTTTTATTATGGAAAGAGGAATCCTTTGAAACTAGAACAAAATAGTGCCTTTTCTACAATTCATCTTTATTTATTTATTTATTTATTTTTTTAAGAGAGAGTGAGAGGAGAGAGAGAGAGAGAGAGAGAGAGAGAGAATTTTTAATATTTATTTTTTAGTTCTCGGCGGACACAACATCTTTGTTGGTATGTGGTGCTGAGGATCAAACCCGGGCCACACGCATGCCAGGCGAGCGCGCTACCGCTGAGCCACATCCCCAGCCCTACAATTCATCTTTAAAGATATGGAACCAGTTCTATTATAATGTGCTTTTCTTTGTAACTGCATTTACACTGTTATTTTATTCTTATTGAACAATGTTTCCCATTTATTTACACTTTCATTTCAAAAATGTATTGCAATAGAAAAGAAAGTCTAATAAATGTCACATTAGGATCCTAACTTAAGAAACATTTTATTTTTGTCATTGAATTCTTTCTCTRTATTTCTACTTATTATTTTATTTGGTAAAACAAACTATCAGTTCTTAAAATTTTTAAATTACTATATTATATTAATTTTCATTATATCAGTGGGTCTTCTTGATTGACTTTTTGGGACTGAAATATTCATATAATTAGATTCCCCATATCATTGTTCATTGAAAAATCAGATAATGTTAACCAGAGCCTATTTTAAATTACAATAATTGTACCAATATTTCCCCAAATAGTCATGACATTTTGAAAGTTTTTTAAGCTTATTTCAGAGTCCCTGTAAATTTTGAAGTAAAATGCAAGGTCTTCAAAGTTAAATATTTTAATTATATTGCTCTGAGACTGTGAGTTTTATTTTCTTTTGTTTACCTCATTCAGTAATGTAATCCAAATTAGAAATCCATATGACATGACAAGAAAATCACATCAGCTTGTCAAGGCTAGGTATTATCTACCTACTTTTGTGGACTTCTCAGAATTAGTAATAATTCTGTAGTTTTATTTATTCTGGATGGGATTTTAAAAAAATTTTTACTAGCAAATTTTCCATGTTAGACATTATTACCTAGGAATTAAGAAATTATGATCATTTCACTTTATTGATCTGAATTACCCAAGTTAGTTTCCTTAATTGAGCTTAGTCCCTTCCCTTTTCATGAAATTGTAGAAAAGCCGATGACCAAAAGTTCATTCATTTTTTGTCATGTATCAGTGTTTCTATTATATTTTATGACTGAATTATATGCCATATGGATTGAACACCATTTTGTTTATCCATTTGTTAGTTGATAAATATTGGGATTGTTTTCACCTTTTGACTGTTGTTAATAAGTTGCTATGAACATTTAAGCAGAACATTTTGTCTGAATGTGTTTCATTTCTATTGGGCATATACCTAGTGGAACTGCTGGCTCATAATGCTTAATTGTCTCAATTATTTCCTGGATGTACGTTTCCATCAGCAATAGTTGCGTTCCAGTTTCTCTTCATGCTCATCAGTACTTGTTTTCTTTTTTTTTTTTAATATTTCTAGTAGATATGAAAGTGGTTTTAATTTCCATTTCCATATGATTAATGATTTTGAGCATCACCAGTTTACATGTGCTTGTTGGCTCTTTGTGTATCTTCTTTTCAGAAATGTCTATTCAAATTCTTTGTGCCCTTTTTAGAATGGATATTTTGTCATTTTCTTATTGAGTTATGATTTATTTTATATCCTAAATAGTAGACCCTTATGTGTTATATTATTTGCAAATATTTTTGTAGGTTGTATTTTTGCTTTTTTCATAGTGTCCTTTAAAACAAAATGTTTTTAATTTGATGTAGTCCAGTTTATCTTTTTCTTTAGTTCTGATTGCCTTTAGTGTCAGTACCAAAGAATGTTTTTTTCAAGTCAAGATTTTACCTGTGTCCTAAGAATTTTATAGTTTTAGTTATTTTATTTAGATCTTTAGTTCATTTTGAGTTAATATTTGTATACTGTTTTAAATAGAAAACCAGATTCATTCTTTTGCATCCAGTTGTCTAGCACAATTTGTTGAAGAGTGTTCTTCCCCTTTAAGTGGTCTTGACACTCTGGAACGTTAATTGACCATAGGGTTTATTTCTGAGCTTCCAGTCCTATTTCATTGGTCTCTATGCTTATTCTTACTAAGGATCTCTGTAGTTTTATTGTAAGGTTTGAAATTGGAAAGCATGAGTCCTCCAACTTCATGAAGATTGTTTTGTCTATTTGGGCAATATTTAGTCATCATTTATTGAAGATGTTAAATTCATTAATTGAAGGTGGTGTTTTCATTACAGTTGTGTCAATTTAAAAACTCCTATACTAGGAGGTAGATGTAAGGTTTTTACAAAAGAGAACTATGATGCCTTCAGCCTTTACTAACAGAACCTCAGTGACCACGTATTAGAGTTATAGAGAAAAATCATGCCTGTGGTTGTCTATGTGTTATCCCAAAAAGAAAAATCATGTTGGATAGTTTGAAGAAAGACTTTAAAGAAAGTGATTCCTTAAAGATTTAAGTTTCTTGCTTAACAGTAATCTTTAACAATTGCTACGTGTTCCCAGTTAGAATATGTGGGGGTAGGGTGCAGAATTTGAGGTGGTAGGAAATCTAAAAACCACTGCTCTAGAGCATTTTCTTTTTCTTTTTTATTATTATTTTTTCTTTTTTAGTTGTTGATGGACCTTTATTTTATTTATTTGTATGTGGTGCTGAGAATCGAACCCATTTCCTTCACGCATGCTAGGGAAGCGCGTTACCACTGAGCCACAATCCCAGCCCTAGAGCATTTTCTTTATTGCTATTAAATGCTTTGCTTGCCTAGTAAGGGTCTCTGAGCATTTGAACATGCACATATTAGTAAAATTCATTTATACCAACATCACAGGTATCAGTTTTTAATAAACTGAACTTTAGAAGTGTTTTTATTTTTGAGTCATTGCTGAAGTCACAAACTAGTTACATAGAACGATTAACTTTGGAAACTGTTTTTTGTTTACCTTCATTTTGTGAGCATTAATTTGAAAGTTTCCTGAGTCATTACTAATTTTTTTTTACATTGTGATATTTCTATTTCATAAATTAGGTTTCTGTTCCCTGTCCATGCATATTTAAGGAATTCTCTTTTTTAAGGGGGCAAAGCATTTAAGTACCTATTTTATCATATTGTAGGTAATATAAATATGTAGATTAGCCTTTAGTGTCATATGAGAAGAATCTTAAACTAACTGTAGTTGAGAAAGGAAAGACTGAGTGGAGAGAGTAAATAACAACTCCCATGGAGCAAAACAGGGAACAGTCAAGAAGTATCTGGGTCTTCTGTAGCCTCAGATAAAGGCAAAGGGGTTGTTATTTGAAGAGTGTATCACCTTCATACTCTGCCACATATCTTGTGATACTGGAGTTATTAGTATGAGGTGCTCTTCAGGTATTAATTTAGATGTGTTTCCCTGTTGGGTCTCTTCTTAAGAAAGGAGGAAATGATGTGGATATGATGACTTTCTCAGTCCAAGCCCCTGATTGTTAGTTTTGACTCCCCCCCCCCCCCACTTCTGCAAGTACATCTTCCTGTGTTTTCTTCAGTTTGGTGTGCTTCAATGATAAAGGATTTTGCTTTACCTTCTGACACCAATTGGACATTATCTTCTTTTCTTTTTTTTAGTATGTCTCATCCTTACTGGGATAAGCAAAAAGTGTTATATTATGATTAGTGGGAAGAAATCTAAGAAAGAATAGGTAGTAAGTTTTTTTAAAGATAGAAGAAACAAATGGTAGAGTATATGGTGCATAGAATGTTCTCAAGCTAGTTGTCACTCAGAGTGATCATAAATAAGAAATTTGTCTACTGGTGTTTAGGAACTCATTGAAAACTGCATCAGTTAGTGATCATAAATAAGAAATTTGTCTACTGGTGTTTAGGAACTCATTGAAAACCGCATCAGTTAAGTAACTGTATTACTATAAGAACTGAATGTTAAAAGATTTCATCTGAAGCAGTCACATGGACATAAGCCCAAAGAGAAAGTAATTTCTTCATGTAATCCTAAAATGGTAAAAACAAGATAAATACTTGAAATAATATGTATTTTAATTTAAATCTAAGTGAGAACAAGAGAACAGGGAAAACAATGCTAATTGGTGCATGAACATGTTTATAACAATTTACACCTTATAATTATATTATGACTTTATAAAGTGACTATGAAACTCAGTAAAAAAAAAAAAAAACTATGGAGATCAAATTCAGCATTTTGTTCTAATACATTGAAACAACCTTATTTGTTAATTAGGACAGTTTTTGAGAACTTAAGATTTGTTACCCACTGCTAATCCTGCAAATGTCCAATATTATTTTTTAACTTGTGTATTCATAAACATTCATGAAATATAATCCTAGGTCTTRAGCATTTTCAATAAAAACTGTCAGTATTTCTCTTATGCCAAATTCCATATTTTCTGATTTGTGTTTTTCCTTTTTCTCTAGGAAACTGACTGGACATTCTTTCCACATGGGCTATAGCATGGCAATTTTGAATGGCATTGTAGCTGCTCTTACTGTGGCATGGTGCCTCATGTGAAACCACACTGGAATGATATTTTGGCAAAATTGTCATTATTTTGTAATAACAGAAAAAAAAAAACATCGCCTGCTCAGAATACTAAGAAGTCATTATATGGTTCAGATACATATCATCATCATCATCATCATGAAGGATCTTTTAAAACATCATTCTGGGGTCTAGGCATTGAAAATATCTTGAGCATTAAGTTTCGAGTACTTTTTAAAAGTATAAGATTCTTACCTCATTCTTTTACTTTTGTTTGTGTGTTTCTTATAAAATATAGAAAACATTTTAATGGAAATCAAACTTGGACACTTGAATACAGGATAATGCTTACCTTTCCATGTATATATATATACTACAATTTTGCTAAGAAATACTGTTAATTGAGATAGAAATATTTCTTTCTTACATTTTACATTATGAAAACAAACTACCTACTTTCCTGACATTTTATAGAAGCTACTTTTAAATAAAAATATTTAGTTTTTGATATTCATATAATAGAAGGTGCATTTATATCTTTTATAAGGCATAGTTCCTTATGTTTTTTAACATATTTTCCTACTACATTTTGAATCTACATTTTTTTTAATTATTGCATCTAGACAACTTTGAATGTTATTTCTTGGCTTGTGCAAAACTAATACCTGCCATTTATACTAAATATTTTTGTCTGAAACTAATAAGCACATTGATGTAAGTTTAAAATTAAGTAAACTTATTTGTAAAAAAAAAATTACTGAAAAGATAAACTATTTCAGTCATTAAACTATTAAGAATTCGAGACTATTCATTGTTTCTATTTTCCAACATTTTACATATTTATCTTATTGTAAATATGGTTACTTCATCAGAACTTATTTTGTTTTTAATAAATGAAAACCCGATTTTTTTGTATGTAGAAATATTTGAATTAGTATATTTTTTAATCTCAAAAATTCAGTTACCAAAGTAGAAAGGCTATGTGTGTGTAATAAAACTATATTTTATATAGACATATCTGGATTATGTAATTTTATACTTTAGGTGTTTAAATGCTATTCGATAATTGTTTTGTTTTGTTTTCATAGTAATTAAGTCTTAATTGTTCCCTTTCTTACTAAACATTTAGAAAATCATCTCAATTTTAGAAAGGTGAATGATTTTTCAAAGATGTTTTCCCTGGCCATAGGAAACCACTGTGTAATCAAACTGCTTATTTAGGCTAAGTGGAATGAATGTGAGTACTGGATTCCTCTGCTGAATGTTATTGCTACGTAAAGGAGGGTTCTAAAAGTGTTAACTCTTTTTTTTTCTTTTTTTTTTTACTATTCAGAAATCTTTAGTTAGACATGACTAGTGCTGCTTCAGAATTTAAATTATCTGAAATGTTTAAAGTAATACAGGTGTTGGGTGTGTCTAAGTAGCAATCCTATGGCTTAAGTATTCCTACCAGTGTGGTTGTTGCAATGAAAAATCTATTTTCAGTCCCTTTCTTGCCTTCTTTTTTCCCCCCTTTCCCTCTAAAGGGCTCTTCCATTGTGTACTAATATATATGCAACAAAATTCATTTATCTTCTCTCTACTCCTCCAGCTCCAACCCTCACCCCTCACCCCTCACCCCATCCCCTGCTACAAATTTGGATAGGTAGCTCCCTCCGATTCTTTGAGTCTAATAATAACTAAGAAAGTAATACAGTAGACCTTAAAGATATACAAGAGAATCTTTATTTAAATTTAGATACTTACAGAAATATCTATAAAATATTTCTTTGAAACCCTATTTATTCTGAACTAGCACTCCCCTTTTTGGGGGGAAGGGATTGCTTTTCTCTCTGAGAAAAGCAATTTGACTAAGTATAGTTATCTAACCCAAGCTGGGCTAATCTTAGTTTCTAATCTTTCCTGACATTGTGGTTGCAGTAGGTACAGAGATGTGACTCAAATCAGCCAGTGTCTTTCCAAGAATTTTCAATGTGAAATTAAGGTATCACAGAGCTGGCAACAATGGTTTAGCAAAGCTCAGAAAAGAATAAGGCTGACCTGGATACTGATAATGGCATTCTTGTGGTTCCTGAAAACCAGTGGCAATGCTACAATTTTTGAAATTTGATTGCATGAAGCAATTGTCATTTGCAAAAAAAAATTCAAAATGAGCTTAACTGGTATTGGAATCCATCTCTTATGAAATTGACTTAGATGATTTCATCTTTTTATGTGCAATATCACATTCAGTTACTTGGAAAGAATACATGGAGTATACGTGTGCCTGTGGCTATTGATTGCTCTCAGTGATTACTCAAGAGTCTTGGAGTAAACAAACTAGTTCTAGTCTTGGTACTTCATCAGGAATTTATTTGTGATACAAAATTCAATTATATTTTGTTTATTATCAAAATATTACTAGGTATTACAAGATGTGAATCTAGTATAAGATAATGAGTTTCAAATAAGACACTGTTGCATAATAACTAGTGTTTCCGAGTTTCCTTATATGTTAAATGGGAAGAATAATACGTAATAAAATATTTAAATTAAAACTGTAAACTACAGCGAACATATTACATGTCAGGATTTATAGAACCCTGATGAAACACAGTTCTATAAATATGATTTCAGATATGTATTGAAACACAAGATTGAAAACTAATAAGCTAAAAATGCAAGGTAAACATTGGAAAACGCAACACCTCCCCCCCACCACATTACACACGCAAACAAGGAAGACTGGGAATAGAAAAGGTAAGACAATCAATGAAGAACAGTATCCAAAAGAAAAAAAAAATATATATATATATATAAAGTAGTATCCATCTCAAAAGTGGGTTCATTGATAAGACTTCTGGTAAATCAGATTTTTTAAAAAATATATATTTTTTTAGTTGTAAGATGGACACAATACCTCTATTGATTTATTTATGTGGTGCTTCACACATGGTAGGCAAGAGCTCTATTGCTGAGCACAACCCTACCCCCACTCCCACACCCCCACTCTAGTAAATCAGATTTAAAAGATTTTTTTATTTTCCCATTTCTGTTCATTTTTTTATTATATTATTTAGGGTCCTATATTTCAGGCAACAAACTATTTAAGGAAGAGATAAATTTGTTTGAAAGATATATTGATCTCAAAGCCTTCAAATATATTGCTAGTTGCTCTCAGATTTGGTGGGCAGGAACCACGAAAGTGTCAGATTCAAGGAGGAGAAAGTAAAGATGTAACCATGATGGATGTCAGGAGTGTCTCAGGACAGAAGCTATGTGTATACCTGTAAGTCCTGAGTAAAGGGGTATYGAACAGTTATGCACCCCACAATAGATTGGGCTTTAACCTCTGCTCAGATAAGGAAGATGTGACTCCAGGAGTGGGCGTCACCTGATGGGGTTGAATTACACCCACCTGTTCCTTTGTAATCCTACCCCTTTGCCCTTTTTGGGATAGAATGTTCCAGTGTGTCCTGGAACAAAAGAAGCAAGGGACTTTTACTGGGGAAACTTGTGCATATTCATACTGGAAAAACTTGTCATTGCATGCAGAGGCAGACACATTCTTGGGCATGTTCAGTCTGAGATCATGCTTTATACAGTGTCCATGTACTTTTTCTTGTCTGAAGAAAGGGTCTTTTCTGAAACTAATAACTTAAAAGGATGTTAGCAGTCAGCAGTAGCTTTCTTCATAAGCAGATGCTTAACGCTGTGAGTTTCTGCCTGGCAACTAACAAAGGACTGATAGTGGGAATAGCCTGGTCAGAATGATGAGTCTTTTCTGCCCTTTCTTGTGCTTTGCAAGATAGGTTCAAGGTTCATAGTCATCGGAGAGAGTTACCAGTTTACCAAGATTAGGTCTCATGCCTCATGTCTCTCAATTATCTTTTGTAATTGAAGGCAGCATCCAAAATTCTTTTGGAATGGGTGACTCGTTATTAAGCAACTGAAAAAACAACAGCAGAATTTTGCTATGCTTTACTCTTGGCTGGTCAGTGTCCATACATAACTTTCCTTTCATACTCATAGTGCTCATGTGTAAATGCAGCCATTGCATGCCTACATCTAATACCTAGACCAAGATCTTCAAATTATGTCCACTCTTCTACTTTTGCTATGTTCTCTGATAGTTTGTAAATTATGTTATCATTTTAATACTAAAGGATAGAAAAGAGATGAGAAATTTACATGTTACATATGACAGAGCAAGAAAATAAAAATGCTGTCCTATTTAAGCACTGGAAAGTCATGAGACCTTCTCTTTTATTTATTTTATTAACTAGTTTTCTTCCTTAACCTAGTGACCTGACACATCTAAGCTCTTGTTGGTTCATTTTTGCCACTGTATATGGTAGTATAAGAACATTCCTCAGTGTCCTCAGTTTTTCCTCTATATTCCTCMTTGTTCTCATTGAGTAGCAGTTACTGTATTATAAGGTTAAGACACCAAATTTACATGAAGGTCTTTTTTTTTTTTTTTGCTTGATTATCCATTGGATAAAGAATATAAAATTACCATGTGGCAGTTTGAATTCTTTTGAACTCCTTTGTCCAATACTAAAATCTTTAAAGCTTCACAGTCCAGAGTCAGAGAAAAAGCAAAAGGTTTATGAGTGGGTCATATGTAACAGAGGCATTAGCCAAATGCCAACCTCTTGGTTCTTGGATCTATGGTTTATAACCCATGGGACAAAGAGCATGAAGTAGAAGTTGCTGGATAAAACCTTATGCTGCAGCAAGAATAGACCCCTAACTTTAAATCTTTCAACTAATTTTAGAACTAAGTTTTTAGTACATTATTCTTGTGTTTAAAATCAGCAGCTAAAAATAAGAGATGTCAAAAAAAAAAAAATCTTACCTCTTGTAGTAAGTTCATTGACCAAGCAATGTTGTGGAAATCCATGATTATGTATAAATTATTAAGTAAATCCATAAATAGTGGTGCTGCCAGAGATGGAAGTAAGTAAATCTAAGACTAGTAAGGATAAAGGTCGTGTAGTGCTACTCCTTCAAATGCTATTAATTGAGTATCCAGCAGCTGACTGATTGCCCAAAGATCATGTTATCAAGCCGTATTATTTTATTATGATGTCTTTTTTAGACTCTTTATTATGTACATATACCTAGACTGAACTTTACACTTACCAGGTACTTTGTAATTATTTATAACACTTATTGAACCTCTAATCTATACCTAGAATTGCAGATTCTTTTAGGGAAAATTTTTTTRGAAAAATGGCTTTCTGTCTTGTGAATCTAATTAATATGTAAGTATATGACAATAAAGCTTACTGTAAACACCTAAGTAGATATTTTCCACACTAGTACAAATATCTGTTTATACAATACTGAAAATTTTTTAAAGCTCTAAAAAGGTAAATGGAATATTTAAGCTGGGCATGGTGGTATATGCCTATGGCTCTGGAGGATCACAAGTTCAAGTCCAGCCTGGACAACTTATACCCTGTCTCGAAAAAAAATTATTTAAAGAATATGTAATAAATGTGATGTTTAAAACATTTTTATGTCCTTTTAATCTAATGCTACTGGACTGAGCAGATAACTGGTGTGACTAAGGGACATATAATTTATTCACATTTTCATAAATTAATGTCAGAACAAGCTTCCATAGTATTTTGAATTATTTACTCCCTAGTATTGTGCAAAATAATGAGTCATTTCTCTGTACAGAAGTGTCTAACAATATGAAAAGTTTCATCAAAATCAATGCTTTTAATTCAGCTGAAAAACTTGTGCACAATAACCTGTCTACATATATAGATGACAGTAAGTTCTATGTTGGAATTTGAAAAACAAGAGTATCCCAGAAAACCATAAAAGTGAATAGAAAATGACAGAAGTTTGATTGTGAATCAAACTTCTAGTAACATAAGGGGGGAAAATCCAAAATATGTT